GGGTGCGCAAGCTGCGGGGACCCACTCACAGGTCTTACTGTCCTGTTTCCCTAGTATCCAGCGCCTCACACACTGTGTGTCTGTGTTCTCAGTGTGGATGGCTAGGGCTGGGTGGTTAGCAGTCCTGGGCTCCCTTTCCCTCCCGGCTTGGACTCCTCTCCTCCCTCTGGGAGCTGAGGTGAGGGGCACTCAGGTCCCGCCAGGCTGCGGCTTGTATCTTACCCCCTTCGCGATGCGTTGGGTTCTTGCAGGTGTAGATGTAGTCTGACTGTTGTCCTGTGTCTTCTGGTCTCTGTTTTAGGAATACTTGTATTTGTTGTATTTTCAAAAATATATATGGTTTTGGGAGGAGATTTCCACTGCTCTACTCATGCTGCCATCTTGGTTCTCCCCCCCAAGTTCTCTACTTTTTGAGGTCATTCATTCCATCTTTCGAATCTTTAAAAACTTTCCTGTTGGAAAATTGTTGCTTTCAATATTTGAAGTTGGATAATTGTTTCTCCTTCTGTGGCCTACTTATTGGTTCTGATTTTAACTCTTGGACAAACAGTATGATAACTTTTCTACACTATTTAAGGCAACTCTTCTGTTTTTCTCCAGGTTATATATCTCCTGATTTTTCATCTCTCCCTCTTGTGTCTTACAATTTAATGTTCAAAACTATGGACAGTATTTCATGTAGATCTGATCTGTACTGAGTAGAACAAAAATCTCACTTTGCACATTGAAGATATTACATTTCCATTATTGTATATAAAAATCACATTAATTTTTTTTTGGGGGGGCAACCTCATCATTCTCTTCACTCTTTTTGAATATATACCATCAATTTAAGCCTGTAAGGTTTCTCCACACATAGATAGATGTGACTCACCTATCCTGGACCTCCACAGTTGTTCTTTCAGACCCAAGTTCAGGACCTTAGATTTATACCTGTTCAAATTCATCCTGTTAGACTCAGCCCATTTAAACAGCCTGTGGAAGTATTATTTTTGGTTTACAGTTGGGTCATCCAACATATTTGTCTTTCTGTCTAGCTTCTTCTCACCTGCAGATTTGATGTGTGTTTTCTTTTCTCCATCTTAGTCATTAACAAATATGTTGAGGCAAGCCAGACTAGAGTCATTCCATTGTACTATACTATTGCTACTAGATTTTAATGGGCAGGATTAATTGTGTATGGAGATAGAATGGCCAGTTTAGATCAACTATTCCATAATTATAGTAGGAATTGTCTCTTAGGTGAGTAGTCCTGTTGTAGCTGCTTAGTAAGTAATGAGAGATAATAGAAATAAGTATGGTCATAAGAATGAAATTAGGAAACTTGGTGACACTGTTTATGTATTTTTATAATTAAATATTATATTTACTAATTAAAAAGATGTAATTCTTAAATTCTTATATAAGGTCTTAAGCAAAGAGCCTTTTGGATGGTTTAGAGGCAGTGTGGTTAGGGGGAGAGCCCTAAACTTGGCTCTGAGATGTTTTACTCATTTATTTACTCAGCAAGTATATAGTGATTGCCTACTACATTGAAATTCGGAGTATACAATGGTAAAAACAAAATCAAAAACAAAAATCCAGGCTTGATCTTTGCTTTCAAAGGAGCTTACATTCTTTTTTAAATTATTATTTTATTTTTTAATTAATTTTTTTGCAGGTTTAAAAAATTGTTTTTATTAAGGTATCATCGATATACAATCTTATAAAGATTTCACATGAGCAACATTGTGGTTACTACATTCACCCATATTATCAAGCCTACCCCCATACCCCATTTCAGTTACTGTCCATCAGTGTAGTAAGATGCCACAGAGTCACTACTTGTCTTCTCTGTGCTACACTGTCTTCCCCATGATCCCCCCCACTAATCACAATACTTCTCAATCCCCTTCTCCCTCCCTCCCCACCTGCACTCCCCCATCCCTCCCCTTGGGTAACCGCTAGTCCTTTCTTGGAGTTTGTGAGTCTGCTGCTGTTTTTCTCCTTCGGTTTTGCTTTGTTGTCATACTCCAGAAATGAGGGAAATTGTTTGGCACTTGTGTTTCGCTGCCTGGCACATTTCACTGAGTATAATACCCTCTAGCTCCATCCATGTTGTTGCAAATGGTAGGATTTGTTTCTTTCTTATGACTGAATGGTATTCCATTGTGTATATGTGTCACATCTTCTTTATCCACTCATCTACTGATGGACACTTAGCTTCCATATCTAGGCTATTGTAAATAGTTCTGTGATAAACATAGGGGTATATGTCTTTTTGATTCTGAGAACTTGTATTCTTTGGGTAAATTCCTAGGAGTAGAAATTCTGGGTCAAATGGTATCTCTATTTTTAGTTTTTTGAGGGACCTCCATATTGCTTTCCACAGTTACTCAATTAGTTTACATTCCCACCAGCAGTATAGGAGGGTTCCCCTTTCTCCACATCCTCACCAGCATTTGTTGTTGTTTGTCTTTTGGATGTTGGCCATCCTAACTGGTGTGAGGTGATATCTCATTGTGGTTTTAATTTGCATTTCCCTGATGATTAGTGATGTGGAGCATCTTTTCATGTGCCTGTTGGCCATCTGAATTTCTTCTTTGGAGAAGTGTTTGTTCAGATCCTCTGCCCATTTTTTAATTGGATTATTTGTATTTTGTTTGTTGAGGTGAGTGAGCTATTTATATACTTTGGATGTCAAACCTTTATTGGGTATGTCATTTATGAATATATTCTCCCATACTGTAGGATACCTTTTTGTTCTATTGATGGTTGTCCTTTGCTGTACAGAAGCTTTTCAGCTTGATATAGTCCTACTTCTTCATTTTTGCTTTTGCTTCCCTTGCCCAGGGATATATGTTCATGAATAAGTTGCTCATGTTTATGTCCAAGAGATTTTTGCCTATGTTTTTTTCTAAGAGTTTTATGGTTTCATGACTTACATTCAGGTCTTTAATCCATTTTGAGTTTACTTTTGTGTATGGGGTTAGACAATGATCCAGTTTCATTCTCTTACATGTAGCTGTCCAGTTTTACCAACACCAGTTGTTGAAGAGGCTGTCATTTCCCCATTGTATGTCCATGGCTCCTTTATCATATATTAATTGACCATATATGCTTGGGTTTATATCTTCACTCGATAGTCTGTTCCATTGGTCTATGGGTCTGTTCTGTTCTTTTGCGAGTACCAAATTATCTTGATTACTGTGGCTTTGTAGTAGAGCTTGAAGTCAGGGAGCGTAATCCCCCTCTGCTTTGTTCTTCCTTCTCAGGATTGCTTTGGCTATTCGGGGTCTTTTGTGGTTTCCATATGAATTTTAGAACTATTTTCTCTAGTTTGTTGAAGAATGCTGTTGGTATTTTGATAGGGATTGCATTGAATCTGTAGATTGCTTTAGGCAAGATCGCCATTTTGACAATATTGATCCTTCCTATCCATGAGTATGGGATGTATTACCATTTATTGCTGTTTGCATTTTTCACATCATACATTTCTGTGGAAGATCAGTTTATTTCAGGGATTTCAGCAAAAGACTAAGAATCATTAGTGTCTTATAGTTTTCAGGGTATAGGTCTTTTACTTCTTTGGTTAGGTTTATTCCTAGGTATTTTATTCTTTTTGATGCAGTTGTGAATGGAATTGTTTTCCTGATTTCTCTTTCTGCTAGTTCATCGTTAGTGTATAGGGGTGCAACAGATTTCTGTGTATTATTTTGTATCCTGCAACTTTGCTGAATTCAGATACTAGTTCTAGTAGTTTTGGAGTGAATTCTTTAGGGTTTTTTATGTACAATATTATGTCATCTGCAAACAAGGACAGTTTAACTTCTTCCTTGCCAATCTGGATGCCTTGTATTTCTTTGTGTTGTCTGATTGCTGTTTCTAGGGCCTCAGTACTATGTTGAATAAAAGTGAGGAGTGGGCATCCTTGTCTTGTTCCTGATCTTAAAGGAAAAGCTTTCAGCTTCTCGCTGTTAACTATGATGTTGGCTGTGGGTTTATCATATATGGCCTTTATTATGTTGAGGTACTTGCCCTCTATGCCCATTTTGTTGAGAGTTTTTATCATGAATGGATGTTGAATTTTGTCGAATGCTTTTTCGGCATCTATAGAGATGATCATGTGGTTTTTGTCCTTCTTTTTGTTGATGTGGTGGATGATGTTGATGGCTTTTCTAATATTGTACCATCCTTGCATCTCTGGAATAAATCCTACTTGATCATGATGGAATTTCTTTTTGATGTATTTTTGAATTCGGTTTGCTAATATTTTGTTGAGGACTTTTGCATCTGTGTTCATCAGGGATATTAGAACTAATAGGTTTTAACATAGTGTATCTGAAATAGTATTTCAGCATGTAAGCAATATAAAAAATTTGAGATATTTTTATTGAACTAAATATTTGAACTTTTAAATATATACTATATCTCAGTTTTCTACTGTTCATATTTATAGTGTTCAATAACCACAGATAGCTAGTGGCCTCTGTATTAGATAGTGCAATAGTATACCCATCTTTACAGTCTAGTCTGTGGTGCTGGAAAAATTACTTTGCTTTTGTAGGACTCCTTGTTTTCATCAGCAAAACAAAGGATTTAGACTTGCTTATCCTCTAACAACTAAATGTGGTCCATTTCCTCTATGGAAGAGCCTTCTGAGGTGTTCTAAATAATCTGTGTCTTGATCTGGGTGGTGCTTACATGAGTGTATATTCATCAAGCTGTATACTTAAGATTTATGTACTTTACAGTATCTGTGTTATAATGCCTCAATAAAAGCTTTGTTTTGTTTTTTAAATAAGATCAATTACAGTTACTTGATTCTTAGTCTTTTGCTGAAATCCCTGAAATGAGCTGATCTTCCACAGAAATGTATGATGTGAAAAATGCAAACAGCAAGTAACTCTTTGATGTTTTCTTCCCACCCAGGATGTGTCTAGTCCGAATGAAGCAGGAAGGCCGGAGCGGGAAGTACATGTGCCGTGTCATAGTTCATTTTATGTGGGAGGATGTTGAGCAGCGTGGCAGAGTCATGGGGGTAAGTGAATGCTATCAGATTCTGGTCCTGGAATTGAATTCCAGGATTGCCTGACTTGAGTTGAAGTTTTATCTGCAAAGTTCTCCCTGTACACCAAGAAGTAAACAAAATTTATTGATGTTTTATAGAAGTCATACATATTCACATTGCTTTCAGATTTCTGTGAAATGCTGCCTAAGGTCAAGTGATAATTCAGCTAGAGTTGTACCTGCCCCTATGGAAACTGACAAGCCACAGACACTTTATGTGTTTGCACCTGTTATTGTGATTTTTCAGTATAGGACATCCTGTACATGGAGACGGAATTATTAAGCACAGTCATGGTGATCAGAGGGCTGGATTTGGTGAATGGAGGAAATCAATTAGTAATCCAATTTAGGACTGTATGCCTTTGTCACCAGTTTAGTATTTGAATCAGTCCTCCTCTAAATTAGTTCAAATGAGAAGAACCTGGCATGGGGCCTACATTGTTCTCGGGAATTGAAAAACAAGATCCTTGATCACTAATAACCTAGAATACTTAGCAGTGTGTCTACTGAAAATGTATGCTGGTACATTTAATAATTAACCAGAGGAAGGAGAATATATAACTTAGAATGTGATGACAATAGAAAAATGAAAGCAAAATATTAGAATACTGTTGGTTGTATAAATAATAACTTCTTCCTTTGTATGTATTGTGTATTTTATGTGGCTAGAGCATGTTTTAGAATGTTGTATTTCCTTGTTTTTTCCCATTTCATTGCCTTGCACTTTGAAAGCCTCTAAAGCAGAACCATCAGATGAAGTCACGAAATGGGTTAATTTGGTTCCTTTCATTACTGAGCAAAGTTCTCCCTATAGACCAAGAAGTAAACAAAATTTATTGATGTTTTATAGAAGTCACATATTCACAGAATAAAAATTAAACAGTAAAAAGCTTTTAATGTGAAGTGTCTTTTTTCCAGTTCAACTCTGCAGAAGTATAATTTTTGAGTCATTATGTATCCTTGTAGTTGTTTTCTATACAAATACAAATGTATATTCTTTTAAGGTAAAACCAGTGGCTTCTAATATAAACACTGTTTTGAATCTTGACTTTTTTTTACTTAATATGTTAGATATGTTTTTATTTTAGTTTTTTAAAAATTCATAATATTTTAACTAAGACTGAAATCCCTTTAATCATCAATCTCAATCCTGGCCAGTGACCTCCGTTCAAAAAGTAATCACTGTTTCCATTTAGTATACATATTTTAAGACCTTTTCCTATGTTACCTATAGAAAATATGTGGTATTGGTTTTGTGTGGGTATACTTTATTATATATGATATTCTCTATGTACCTATGTACAATTTTCTTTTTTTCATTTAACAATATTTCTTGGAGATCTTCCAAAGCTGCATAGGAGTTAAATGAGAGATCCTTTTTACTTTCATTTATTGTAATTATTTTCACACACTCCTGTGTTATTGTCTAATGATATCATGTACTTGCTCTGTGTGTAAAAATTATAGTGTTTGAGACTAAATCATGAAAATGATTGTACTGAAAATTTGGGTTGAGGGTATTTCCAAATTCTCTTGTCTTTGAAGGAACTAAACATGTAAGAAGTACAGTAGACATGGGTTCACCTAAATATCTTCAGATATCTTTACATTCCTTTTTTTGGGATAACAGATCAATGGCATTTCTGTTCATTCTAAGAAGGTGATTGCATATATTGAAGTTTTAAATGAATATCACCATCGGTGTTTTGGAGTCAGTAGTCAACTTTTTGTAATTGTGCTCTTTGGTTCCTTTTTCATTTTTCTCACTGTCATGCCTTCCTGCTATCTTTGCTGCCCAGAGTGGGAACAGCAACCTTTAAGTTATTCATCAAGCTGAGAGTTCCACATGCCCTCAAATACTTACTATCCAACTCAGTGGCAGCAGGCAGTGGACATAGGGTGGTGCTGGGAGTCTCAAATCATCTCATTTAATGATGACCGGTGATATCCCCTGGCCAGCCAAAGCCTTGCCTAACTGCGATGCAGTTACACAGTTGCTGTTCCATTAATTGGCCTGTTTTTCTTATCACTGTTGACTAAACTCTGCTGGAAGTTGGACCACTTCAGCCATAGCTGTCGCTAAGCTGAATAGCTTACGAGCCATACATTGCTGACTCCTGGACTACAGGAATCTTTCAGTTGCACCCACCCCTTCCCATGAATTTCCTGTTGGACTTACTTATGTATCTTCATTACAATATTTAACACTTTGAGCCTTCTCCTATGTTACTTTATAATGTCCCTTCTACTTGACTGTGCTTTGTAAAGGCAGGAAACCTGTTTTATGCATAGTTTCTTGCTTGCACAGTAAACTTTGGATGACTAAAGTGTTTGTTGAATGAACAAATAAATTAAACTTCAGCCTCTGAAATTCTGTTTTAAAGCCAACTTAGTTATCAGATAGATCATACTTGATTTATTAGTCTCTGGTCCATGTGTACATCAGTGCAGTCCTACAGGAGTTAGTCTTTCCTTTTCTTCCATTTTATCCAGCCATTTTTTTTCCTATTTGAATTATTCTAGATATGATACTGTCCTATAGAGAAGAGTGTTAGATCAGTATTTCTCAAATTTTAATGTACATACAGTTCACCTGTGGTTCTTGTTAAAATGCAAATTGTAATTCAGTAGGTTTGGGTGGGGAGAGACTGTAAATTTCTGAAAAGCTTCAGATGATGGCAGTGCCACTGGTGAGGCAGGGTGGGGAAGGAGCAGCCACACTTTAAATAGCAAGGTTTTAGATTATCTATAATGCTCGCAGAGTGCAGATTCTTAAATTTGCCTCCATAAAGAGAAATGCTGAGTTCCAGTTTAATCACAATGACTATAAATGGTGATTTAAAAATAACAGAAATTTGAAAGAGTTGGGAAATTACTGTTATGCCTTTTCTATTATAATTGAGTTGATATTCCATCCCCCCCTTTCCAAATGATGGTATAAACAGACATGGGAATAGTAATTTATTTTGTAATCAGGGAAACAGTAATATATTAACCACTTCAAGTTGTGAGTGTGTTTGTGTATGTACAACCTAAAGAAATGAGAAAGTTAGGGACATGTGGATGGAGACAAGTAGTAGGCAGTAGGGAGCCAGTCTGGCCTGGTTCTGACCCTGGCTGACAGGTCTTTTCTCCTCCAGGCTTCAGTTTCTTAGTTTAAAAAAACCCTGTGTGCGTGAGTGTAATTTCCTAGTTTCTATGATTTGAAGGTGGTAATTTGCAAATCTATCTCTGTGTTATTTGGCATCCTAGGTGTACATCTGTAAGAAAACTCATATAAAAAGTAGAATTTATAAGACTGATTAATGTATGGTGATTTTTCTTGTGCCAGAGAATCCTTGGAGGCCATTACTTTACTTGAATGGATTGATGTGAGGAAGGTTGAGAACTGGGAGAGCCACTTCTGAATTAATGATGAATCAGAAATTTGATTTAAGAATTCCTTTGAAATTTGAATTCCAGTCTAATTCAATGGGAAAATTTTTATTTTACAAAAATTTACTTTTTATGCTCTTTTAGGAACCCAGCTATTGTGAAAAATAAGGCTGACTTATATATCATCAGTGAAGCTAATATATAAAAAGCAAGTGTAAATTTGAGGTTACAAAAATCACATCAATAATTTAGAGGGCTCTGACTTTAAAAAAACATTATTTGGGATTTAAACATATAAATTAGCTGTGGAAATCAAGTTCATTATATCACCTCATATGGTCTTGTTTTATTTCATTAACTGGTTCTTAAAAACCTTTGTGAGCTGAGTTGCAGCTGAAGAGGTTGGAGACCATTTTTCCTTGGGCCCTTGCCTCACTCCTGAGTGTTGGTAGGAGTAGAGAACTAAGCCTTGATGCAGCTGTAAAAACAGACAGCGCCTTTGGCCTCTGTACTTTCTCCTGGTGCAGGCAGATTTCAGATGTAAATTTCACTTTCTGCCTCTCCTACTAATGAATTAAGTTTCTTTTGCTGGGTCTGCAACCAGGTGTGTCCAGTCTTGTGGCTAACCCTGCACTTTACTTAATTTTTCCATTTGTGACATTTCAACCAAACTTAAAAAACAAACATAAAAATTAGCTCAAGGCAGTGGCTCAGAGTGTTAATGGTGACCTTAGGCTGGCCAAAGGACTTCCTCTCAGTTCTGGCCTGCCAGACATCTCCATCTTGTGGCTTACAATGAACAAGTTTAAGCTTTTCAAGCCATGGAGACTTAAGTGGGATGGGTAGGAATGGGCTGTAGTTGAGAAATTGCAAATTTATCTTTAACAGTGGTCACTGGCATGGCAGTTGCCTCATCAGGACTTCAGATGATGTCTTGCTAGCACCATTCCAGAATAACAATGAACCTCCTGTCATCTCATGTCTCCTGCTCTGTAGCAGTGCTGCTTGATTGGATGGTGCAGAGGCCTAGAAAGAGGTGGAGGAGCTGTGGACTGAACTGGACTCCTTTAGCCTGGCATGTAGTAAGTACTCAATGAACATTCTATCCTTGCTTCACATACTCTTCACTCCAGCCAAGTTGAATGCCTTGCTCCTCCTGTCTAGTGTATTTTCTCATGTGGTACAAAACACCTAGACTGCCTGAACCTTCCAGGCCCAATTCCTGCACATCCCTCCACCCCACATTTGAAAGCTAATGTCAGTTTCCCCTAGCTAGAACTACCTTAATAATTTATATGTACCCTCCTTCAGAATCTTAACTGTTTCTGATTTGTATCATTGTCATTTGTGTGTGTCTTGCCAATGGGTTTCTGCCCCAGACAAGTTCACTATGGGTTCAGTGTGACCAAAGAAATGACAGTAGAACATTCTTGGGGTGAAAGGGTTATACCCAACCTTATTTCCACAGTGGCAGATCAATCACATCACTAAAATCCTATTCACTCAGAGCAAGTCTGTGTGCAGCAAGCCGGTCTCTGCCTCAGAATCTCTCTACCCGCACACCCGTCCTCTGGGCCTCTCTGCCCACACAGCCAT